AGGACTGAGCCACAGTGGGATGTTTCTTCACTTGTAATGAAATGAGAGTATTGCCATGAAATGTACACACCCCAGTTGTGGATTTGAGGTCATAATAGTCCCTCGCTCTGAAAACATCAACATAGGATGTGAGTAGTAGGTTTTCTGGTTCTATAATCATGTCGAATTGATTCATATCCTCAAAATAATGAAATAGATGAGTAAGCCGCATGTAATCAAATGTTGTAGGTGAAAACATCTTTTGGTATAGATGATTAACGATGTAGGAAATATACAGACGTGTCACTGTGAAACATTGAAGTGCTCCTGTTAACTAGCAGTAGAGTGTTGGATTAAGAAATGGAGGACTTGGAACGATTCCCATGAAGCAAACAACAGTTCCAAGATGTTTGATATGGAATCAAGTAGCTAGATTTTCAGTCAGTTGGGAGATCACTTTGGAATCATTGCTTGTGATAAGGATGGCGTCAACGTATAGTAGAACAAAGATGAGATCATTATGTTTATTTAAAGAAGCAGTGATGGATAGGCTTTGCAGCTTTTAAAAAACTTGTACAATAAAAAATTTGGAGAAGGTGTGGAACCACTAGCGGAGGTCTTATTTTAGTCCATATAGGGATTTCCTAAGCAGACACACATAGTTCAAAAATTGTGTATCGTGAAACCTCGATGGTTCTTTCATGTACATTGTTTCATTGAGATTTCCATGGAGGAATGCATTTTAAATGTCAAATTGAAGTACATTCCAATCATGATGGATAACAACAATGAAGAATATGTGAATAGTAGGAATTTTAGCTACGAGGCTAAACGTTTCATGGTAGTTTAATCCAAACTCTTGTCGGTGACCTTGAGCAACAAGCCTTGCCTTGTATCGAGTAATTATCTCGTGGTTGTTAACTTTGGTGATGTATGCTCACTGTGAACCTAAATTTGTTTGATTTGATGGGGGAGGAACTAGTATCTATGTTCCTTGTCTTTGAAGAGCATCAATTTCCTCTTGCATGGTCTTCTGCCAATGGGAGTGTCTATATGCCTAAGTGTAGGAGGTAGGATCAAGTATAGATTGAATGTGATGTAAGAGATCTGTTTTCCAATTGGCTTGAGGATTCTCGACTTTGAGCAAGTTTTCATGTGGTGTAAAGGTGGTTGGACTATAGGTGGAGTCAGTTGGTTGGGCGATACATGTAATGGAGAAGTGGTGGGATTGGTAAGTGGATATGTAGAGGATATTATAGATGGATTAGGAGGGGAAGGTGGAAGCATAGGAGATAGATTGGCAGTGGGTGTTAATAGAAATAATGGAGTTGGAGAGGTGGAAGGTTGATGAAGAATTGGAGGTGTCGTAGAAGAGGACTGAAGTGAAAAATATGTTCATCAAAGGCGACATTATGGGACACTATAATTTGGTTGGTATAAGGATTGAAGCATTCATAACCCTTATGTTGTAAAGAATAACCGAGGAAAATGCATTAAAGTATTAAACGACTCTTGGTTTAAAGTTGTGAGATATTTGGGGTTTTTGTTAAGGGTAGCAAGCTCATCTAAATACCCGAAGAAGAGTGCAGGATGGAGAAGATTGGTGAAGATGTTCATATGGTGAGAAGTTGTTCTTGTAGGCATCTAACTAATGAGGTGTACGATAGTTTGGAGGCTGTCAATCCAAAACTTGAAGGGATATGTGCTTGATGTAGTAAGGCTCGAGTGGTTTCATTGAAGTGTCAATGCTTTCTTTCAATAAAGTTGTTTTGTTCTGGGGGGTAGGGACAAGAATATTGGTGTAGAATGCCAAAGTCATTGAAAAAGATATTTAAGGTGTTATTATTATATTCTTTGCCATCATCATATCACAAATTTAATTTTAGTATTGAATTGGTGTTGGAATGATTTATTGAAATTCTTAGAAATGTTTGTGGTTTCAGATCTTGCACACATAGAAACCACCCAACATAATTTAGAAAACTCATCAATAAAGAAATATAACATCTATAGCCTTGATAAGAAGTAATTGGGGAGGGACCTCATACATTACTATGAATAAGTTCTAGACGTTTGTATTATTGTCCTATAATAGATACAAATCACTGTTTGTGGCTCTTGGTAAGATTGCAAGTGGTACATGAGGTTGAGCAAGATGGTATGAGTAGAATGTGATGTTTGGATATGGTAGCTATGATGTCAGAGTGTGGATGTCCCAAGCGTCGATGCCAAATTCAGCTTGTTGTATTTTGGAAAGAGATGTAGTAAATGCTTGTGGCAGATAAGTAGATGTTGGAATGGAGTAAAGTCCTTTAGAACTGGGACCCTTGAGAAGTATTTGTTGAGTTTGAGGATTCAAAATGACAAAACTATGAGGATCGAATGATATTATGACATTGTTGTCTTTGGTTAGTTTTTGGATATAGAAAAGATTATGTAAAGAAGAGGCGTGTTATAAATTTGGTAGAGTTTGAGCATACGATTGAAATTAGGAAGAAGACCGTCACCTTAGTACTGAATTGAAACTATTTGTTAGTTGCCCACCATTACTTATTCATTTCCGTGATAGCTGATTGGAGTTGGCTTAAGTCGGTCATGAAATGTGAGGTTGCACTGAAGTCTAGAATCCATTCCTTGGAGGTGGCAGTGAGAGCTTGAGCTGGAATTGATGGTGTATATTCAAGATTCGTCTGATGCCAAAAGATAGATGCAAAATGGCTTATTTTATGACATATTTGGCATATTATATTGGTTCTCGTTGATGTTCTTCCTCTTCATGAAGCATTGGAGTAACTTCCTTTTGAAATTGTTAATTGACTTCAACCCCTTCCTCTTGTGGTTTTGTGTTGCGTCCTCTGTATGTATTTAGCAAATTGGGTATTTTAGTTATAGCAATAGACATTACATTCTCATTGTTGATATTAATCTCTTCACCAGAGAGTAGATAATAGAGATTATCCAAGGCAATGGGTAGTATTGATGTTCTAATAACTGTTTTAAATGCATTGTAAGTGGAGGTAATCCATTGAGTATTTAGAGGGTGTCATCTTCTTGGTCTGCCTTGGATCCAACAACAGTAATTTGATTTACAAGTATCTAAATTCCTATCAGATATTGCTCAATCATTTGATCCTTCATTGATATACTATGCTATTTTTTTTTTTTTTCAGTTGAATCACTCCGACTGATTTGTAGGTTTTAAACGACACTCTATAACAACCCAAATCTTAGTTGTGGTATGAAGATTAATGATACGAGAAAGAACAATATGTGATATTGTAGAGTATAGTAATGCCACAAGATACTGATCAATGAGAATTGAGGAGGACAAATAATGTCGAGGAGAAATAATATCGCCATCAAAGAAGCTGACAAAATCCTTTGACTAAATATGTTCAGTAAATGTGCTCGCCATACTTGATACTTTGTAGGAGTAATTAGAAGATTTTGGGAGAATTGTTTTAGGAGGGAAGTGAGGAATTTAAGTGGTGAATTTAAGTGGAGGGTATGTTGATGAATTGTGTAGATATAAGAAGCGTTTGAGATTGACACGTTGCAGATTCTTCGACTTTCGAAGAGAGGATGGAGAGGGTTGCGAAAGAAATGATCCTAGTGCTTATGTGAGACGGACACAAGTTTCTCTTCCCCTAGGAAAGCTCTAATAACATAAGTATAGGGTAATTAACATTTTCATTACTCCAACACCTCCAGGTAATGCCAAGAATATTTCACCCTTTTTCATTACTTATACTACCATATGTACGAGAAAATATTGTGTTTGTGGTCCGCACATGCGGACGACCAGCTGCAGGGCGTTAGCGCATCATACAAGCTGAGGTGGTGCACGACGATTGGTCCTCAACACATGCAGACATAATATTTTCTTTTTATTTACAATGTATATAAAGCCTATATGGAATCTTTTAGAGTTGTTACAATGACCTGTAATGGGTGTGCCTATTGCCATTTGGTTATAGCAGGGTATTATTGGTGTTGGGATCATTATTTGTGCTATGTCTAATAATTATGATTCATTGTGGTATATAATTTAAATAATTTTTAGTGTATTCGGAGCATTTATTAAAGCTCATCCAAATTAAAATACGCACAACATTTACAATTTATTTGTTTAAAGCTCATCCAATCTCCAAATTTGTCTTCACTTATATAAACTTATATAATTATGTAAAACTTTTATTCTCTTGATTTTATATGATATTTTATTTAATGAATTATATTACAAAATGTATTTACATCCAACTTAGATTATTGTATTAATATGCAAGTAATTTTTTTTTTAGTTATAAGAAATTGAGTCATTGCTCTCCTCTGAGCAATACGCGTGTGCCGTGATATTGTGCTATTGAGTTGTTATCATGTCAATATCACCCCAATATTATCATTATCACATTAATACTACCAATCCACAATATTTTTCTCACTTCTCCAATAGTCTCTTATGACATTGACAATGACATACAAAATTACGTATGGCACAATGACGTATAAAAAATATTATGTCTGTAGGGACATAAAAATTATGTATGGACAATCGATGCGATGTGTTCACGAAAAATTATTTCATACGAACTGGGCATGTATCTATGCGCTATCCGATCTCGACCGTCGTTCACAGCAGAATTTTATTTCGGTGGGACCCATTAAAAAAATTGTGAACTGTCCGTACAAAATAATTTCTCGACGTTCACACTCGGGATGCAACATTTTTTCAGTGACGAACTGATCAACGCGAAAAAGTAGAGAAACTGAGAAAAAAAGAAAAAGTAAAAGCGAAGGAATAGAAATGTGAATCACGCTGAAGAAAGCTTTAATCATTTGTACGGACATAAAAATTATGTCAACCGATGCGACGCGTTCACGAAAAATTATTTCAATATGGACAGGTATCTATGCGCCCATCTGATCATAACAAAACTTTATTTCAGTGGGACCTATTTTTAAAAGAACTGTGAGCTGTCCGTACGAAATAATTTGTACTCTTTTTTAGCGACATAGTCCCCTTCACAGAAAGCCATCAATTAAATATCTTCTCCCCAAATTTCTCCGCTTGCAATCCAACGAAAATGGACTATCCCATTGACCAAAACCGCGGTAACAAGGAGGCGGTAATCTCCATGCTCCGCTCCTCTCACGCTGCCATCTCCGCCGTACTCCTCTCTTCCATCGCCGCGGAACGCGACATCGCCGACACCGACCGCCGCCTTCTACTCAGGCGCAGATCTCTCGCCGCCATCTCCGGCCCAGCGACCCGGCCTCACTCACAGGCCTTCGCCTCAAAAGCCCTACATGGACGCATCGCCCTTGCTGAGCGCCTCGAGGGCAGCCTTGTTGATTTCGGTGGCTCGGAGCACATCGCAAAAGCCGAGTACGAAGCGGTTGAATTCATGTGGCGCACGAAGGCGGTGGAGTTCATGTGGCGCACGAAGGCGGTGGATCGGACGAGGATGAACTACAAGGGCGAGATTGCGGAGGCGTTGCTGAGGCTTCAGGACGAATATAGAAAGATGCTACGGCGGCTCCGGCATGCGGACGTTGAGGAGATGGCTTGCATTGAGTGGAAGACGAACGGCGAGGATCGGCTGGAGGGGGAAATGGACTGTTGTGAGTGGTGGACATTGGGTTCAGCGGAGGAGAGGGATGTCCTGCGCCGGCTGACGGAAATTCTGGCTTCCAATGGCTGCATTGACACATGCATCAACGTTTTCGTCAAGGTGATAGCTGACCACTCTAAATTAATTCAAGTCGCTCTCTAGATATGTATTTTAGATATATATTTTTGGAAGATTTACATACATACCATTATAATTCCTATCATATATATATATATATATATATATATGAAATGAAAATGTGTGTTTCTGTTTTCAAAATAAAAATAGTGATCACACGTCATCAATAAATTTTAGGGGTTTCTACATAAATGGAATTCTTAATTTAAAATTACAGGCATGGAACCAAAACTTTAATATTACTTAAAGAAGAATCTAACTCTGTTTCTGTCTATAATTGTGGTGTTCATTGTGGGTACTTTATCAGATTATAAAAAAATTCCGTAAAATATGGTAAACAAAATTTTCCCAGCTGGCACGTCCTCTGCCCCCAGCACTCACAACCGGCTCCCTCACCCATCAGGAAAAATTATTCTGTCCGACGACCGCATGTGCTCTACATATAGAAGCGAATGAAAAATTAACACGTGTAATGGTGGGCCCTCAGTGAAGAGAAATAATCAGAACGCGTGACCCGACCCGAACTCCGCCCAATAACCGAAAAAAACGTATATTTGGATTTATGGAATCGCGCCAAATCTAGCATTTCGACATTTTCGATCCGCCAAAGATTATTGGTGTCTTATGGATGTAGATTTTTTTTTATTTTCTTTTCTGTTACTATTCGACGGGTGATCGGTCTCCCTCTGCTTGGTACGTTCTAGCATGTGGCAGATCACCTCATTTCCCTCTTTCACCCAGATCCTGCTTTTATCCCTCACATTTTTTATGAACAGCCACTGCTTCGCCGCCTACATCATTCTCATCTCCAAACTCTCACTTTCCTCCTCCGATGAGCCCTACTAGTGAAACCCTAGCACTTCGTGCATCTTCAAAGCAGCGCACAATAATCCCTTGCCACTCCTCTGCTCGACCGCTGCCGATCACACACCTCTGTTAACCGTTTTCGAACTCGAGAACTTCATAACAACCCTCCCTGTTCTTGTCGCTCCCTGCCCTTCTTAGATGAAAACTTCATTCCCATCAGCCTTCTCCACGCTACTCTCATCTTACTCTCTGTGTCGCAAGCCTCATTGCCTCAAATGTTTGCACTCACACATTTCGCCGACAACCTCAATGGGAGTTTTGGAGGCCAATGTACACCGCAATGCCGAGAGTGTAAGAAGGAGAAAGATGAGAGTTTCAGAGGCCACTTAAAGTACAACTCCCTTCTCTCATGATCGTATTGGAAAATAAAATAATATGTTCGGTATGTGGTAGTAGTTTGGGCTTCACATCCGAAGCACGTCGTGCTTCCACTTAAAGCACAACTCCATCATCTTAACTAAGGAAGGCTGCATCCATAATCACTATTTTTCCAATTTGACTAAACTCTTGAACGTGTTCCCTAGCAACATGTATCTGTGGGAAACTTTTCATCAATTGAAAACTGATAAATTGTGTTTGGTTGAGCGCTTTGATATTTATTTCTAAATAACAGTTGCATGACATTTCTTAATAGATATCTTATCTAACATATAGAACTCATTTCAGAGAAACTGTAAAACACTGCTCATATATCTATGCAGAACAAGCATACCAAAAATTCTGAAATAAACAGATTAACAATGTTGATATATTTTCACTACATAGCTTCTATTGGTTTATCATGATAGGTAAAGATGCTGCTAACTTTTATTATTTGTAAATTTCAATTTTGCACAAAGTATATGCAATTTCATTTATACAAAAAAATAGGTAGTACTCAACATTCTTCCCTTACAAAAAAAATAGGTAGTACTCAACATTCTTCCCTCAAAAAATTACTCTACACTAAGAAGGAGACAAGCACAAACAAATCAACCAATAAAATTTTTCAGAGAAACTGCAAAACAATGCTCATATAACTATGCCAAAAAAAAAAGACTAATGAAAAAATTTCAAAGAAAAAGATGAATATCAGAAAAACTTAAAAAAGGGAAAAATGCCCAACATTTATCCCCCAAAAATGTTACTCTACATTGAAGAAGAGTCAACAACAAGAAAATCGACCAACAAAATTTATCAGGGAAACTATAAAAGAGTGCTCAAATATTTATGCAGAACAAGTAATAAAAAACTCTTAAAGAAGCAAATTAATAATACTCAAATATATATTTCAGTCCATAAATTCTATTGGTTGATCGAGAAAGGTAAATATGCTGCTAGCTTATCTATTATGCAAACTTTAACTTTGAATCAAAAAATATGAAATTCCATTTATAAAGGTTCACAAAAACTAAAAAAAATTCAACATTCTACCTTTAAAATATTACTCTACACCGAGGATGAGGCAAGTGCAAGCAAATCGACCAACTAATATCAGTGCATTTATATGTAGAAGAAGTCAATGAAGAATTATTAAAGAAATAGATGTACACTGATCATATATATTTCATTTCATAGTTTCTATTGGTTTTTCCAGTTAATGATAAATAATGTTAACTTATCTATCATAAGAAGTTCAACTTTGCATCAAAGCATATGTAATTTCATTTATATAAGTATCTCGAACACTAAAAAATGAATTTTTAAAGAAATAGATAAACACTGCTTATATATATTTCATTTCATAGCTTTTATTGGTTGATTAGGATTAGTATAGTTACTACTAGTTTATCTATCATACGAAATACAACTTTGCATCAAAGCATATACAATTCAATTTATAAAAGTTTTTTATATACTGAAAGAAATAAATGAACAATATTCTTATAGTCTCACAAATATTTTAAAAAAAGGGATTCTTAAAGAAACGTGTGAACAATGCTTATATATATTCCATAGCTTCTATTGGTTTATTAGGATAGGTATAGCTGATGCTAACTTATTTATGATGCAAAATTCAAGTGTGCATCAAGACATATGCAATTCCATTTATAAAATTCTTTCAAATACCAAAAAAAGGAAACAATGTTCAACTTTCTCACCCCAAAATGTTACTTTGCTATATAGATGAGGAACAAATTGACAAACTAGCATCAGTACAAGCATATGTAGAACAAGTCCACAAAGAATTGTTGAAGAAATTGATGTACAATATTCATATATATTTCATTCCATTAATTATACTAGTTGATCAAGATAACATTCACCTCGATCGACCAAACATAAGACATGATCACCATCTAGTTGATCATCTCAGTGTGTCAAATTCTAGCGAGTCGATCAACTAATTGTCGTCATATCAAATTTTAAATTATAATACAGATACGAAATGAAATTCATACAATTTATTAGAGTGTTAATCATATTAAGAACATTTATCATAATTGTTCCATCATTTTCGTAATTGTACAAAATATGCTCATATAAATAGGAATAAAGGACTCTTCCTCAGTTCTCTCCATAATAAGGTTCATTTAATTACTCTCTATTATCATCTTTTTCACTTGGTCTAATTCTCGAGGTGTGCTCAAAAAAGACAATCTGGGATCCAACATCTTGAAAGGTGGTGCGATGAGTGGGGACATGCCCGAGAAACTTCCCAAAGAAAGATAACGCACATGGAACCCAATAAAGATGTTACACAACCAGAAGTTCATACGAATATCTCGTCCCCAAAGAACGCCACCAGGGAATCCACTTATGCCACACAACTAGGCCATCAACCAGCAGATGGAGGGACAAGACAAGTCTCAACACACCTACATAGCCATCTTAGTGCGGGCAAACAGGCGATGGGAAGAACAGATGTGAGTGCATGCCTGGCCACTTGTAGGAGGAGCCTTTGCTCGCCAAATCAGAGAGGTGTACCTCCCCCAAGCTAAGAATTCCTCGCCTGGATTTTTACAAATGGAGGACCGACTCGGTCGACAACATCGTTTCTTTCGAATCATCTGTCGGTCTGCTCTTCTGGCACTTGTAGTAGGAGTCTTTGATCGCCAAATCAAAGAGGTGTACCTCCCCCAAGCTAAGGATTCCTCGCCTGGATTTTTACAAATGGAGGACCGACTCGGTCGACAACATCGTGTCTTTCGAATCATCTGTCGGTCTGCTCTAGATTGATGACCCAATAATGTGTTGCCACTTCTAAACCACCTTGAAAGAGTCGACCCTTCGGTGGTTCAATGGTATGCTGACCAATACCATCCCAAGTTACTAAAAGTTTAAGAGACTCCTCGTTTTGCAATTCTCAAATTTGCAGAAGCCAAGAAAGGACTTGGACGCCCAGCTCGACCTCAAGCAGGGAGAAAATGAGAGTTTACGAGCCTAAATCACCCACTTCCAGAATGAGATGCTAGAAGCTACAAAATTTGAAGACGGAAATAGTTGGAATAGCCTTGAATCGTGGAGTCTGAAGCATGTGATTCAGGTATGACCTAGATCTATTTCAACTTACTACTTTCACTAAAGTATTGAAGATAAGTATTGGAGATGACGAACAAGCACACACACTTACCAAAGAAGACCTCCAGAGCTCCCCGAAGGGTAAGCCAGAATCATCCAACCGCCCATCAAGGAAGCGAAAAGAACAAGGTGAACAACAAAGGACAAAAGATAATCAGTCCGTTGGTCGATAAAACAACAACTATAAATCTTGAGATTAGCATAGAAACGATCGAGGCAACCATGGCTGAAAGCAGCGCTCCGATCTACGGTCGGCTCAATATTATGAGCAACCACAAGTTGACAAGGAAATGCAAAGTTTTACACCCGTAAACATGTTGATAGTCAAAATAGTTCAGACCATCCCAAACAAGGACTACTTTAAACAAGCCCCACCAATAAAGGAAACACCTGCCCTATGAGATTAGAAAGTGTACTGTCAGTACCATCGTGGCCATGGACACGAGATAAAGGAGTGTCATCACCTCCAGAACCTAGTTGAGGAACTCATTCACGTCGGAAAGCTTAAAGAATTTATAGCGATCGGCACCCATACACAACAACAGACCAAAATGTCAGCAGGGGATCCCTCCAACGGGTCTGTCAGCGAACAAGGTCTACGTAGCAAGAATAAT